AGTGTCGTGCCACCCAGGCCCCAACGGCGCCGATCGCAAACCACACCCCGGCGTAACCACACCCTTTGCAGTCGCCAAATTCTGGTTGGAACGCATCTTGGGAGTGGTCTGGTGAAGAGTGACGGGTGGTATCGGTACGTTTTCGTTTCCCCAGACAACGACCACCACGATCGACGAGGAGGGGGGCCGCCGCCGCTGTCGCCTCCATCGTCGCTGCCGTTGCCGTGGTCGTTTCACTTGATGTCGATCGGGAGATCGACAGTGCGAAGTATTGTGAGATCGATCCTGGAATCGATAATGAGATCGATGGGGAGACCGATGGTGAGATCCATAGTGAGATGATTGATCGAAACATGGATTGTGAGATCGCTTGTGGGCTGGGCCTTAGATCTATATTCAGGTCGCTACTGACACCGATGGCGAGATGTATTGTTTTATCCATGGTGGGACCGATTGTGATATCGAGTGTGGCATCGGTTGTTATATTGATTGCCCGGCCGCTCGTGATATAGATAGTGACATCCATTGTGAGATCCATACTGGCATTGATACTGAAATCGATCGTGACATCGGTCGGGAGATCCATGGTGGCACAGGTTTTCTCGTCCACTGTGCGATCGATATTGACAGAGGTACTAAAATCGTTGATGGTATCGCTGGTGCGATCGACACTGAGAAGCATTCTTCTATCGAGTTGAGAAGATTGCCGTGACCGATTGCGACATAGATAGTGAGATCGATTGTGAGATCCATCCTGGGATCCATAGTGGGACCGATCGAGTATCATCGATAGAGATGCAAAGGGACATCGCTAGTCAGGGACATCGCGAGTCGAGTCGAGTTCTGCTCGTCACACAGAGGACTTGTAGGCACGGAAAAGGATCGAAGTTCTGGACTTGAAGGGGTTTTCTGTTTATTCTAGCGTCCATAATTTTCTCAGGGGTCCGGGGATGCATCATTTTGTGCGGGTGTGGCTTTATATCAAACTTGAACCGATGTTTTTCGGGGCTATCCAATTCAGACACTTCAGCCGCGTTTTTTTCATATGTTTTGGTCCCCTCGCGAGCAGCTTTCGGGCCCCAGGGGCGTCAAACATTGATCTAGGATGGAAGACTAACTATCCAGCTGCCTGCGGCAAAGTCCCGCCACCGTGCTGACCCAGCACCTTGGGTGGGGACTGTTCGGGGGGCGCACTGAAGGCCATAACGTGTGACATCGTGCCCCGAGCTTTGGGAGACCGTAACTTGCGACACACTCTTCCGCGTCATGTCGGGGGCTCTCTTCTCGTATTCGTCGTCTTCCTCTTTCTTCCGTTCTTCTTGGGCTCCTGTGGGGCAGTCTTGGGGATCCCTTGGGCAACTTTGGGCCGTCTTGGCCCTCTCGGGCCGTCTTCGGGTTCTTGGAAGTCTTCAGGGCCATTTGTAAATGAAGGGAAGCCGGAGCGGTGATGACGCACTTACCATGTATTGCTATCTACAATTTTTTGTCAATGGGGCCTTACTGGGGGTTCTCTCGTGGCTCCCTTGTGCCATGGGACCTTTCGGGGTGTCTTCAGGCCACCTTTGGCCGCTTTGGGGCCATTTGGGTTTTTGTTGGAGGCGCCTTGGGTTATCTTGGCGGCCTTTGTTGCCTGCCTCGACCGTCGTGGAAGCTGGAGACCGTGGACACCCTTTGTTACTTACCAAGGATCGTGGCCGCCCGAAAGCGGACCCACGTTTGTTGTACAGGGGGTCATGGCTTATGAAGCGACTCTCATGTTGTGTTTGCGAGATGGCGTGGCCTCGGGACCACGGGCTCATGGTTTGATAGGAAGGGCCGTGGCCTCGGGAGCGTGGGCCCGCTGTTCTGGAGCAGGGAGGGGGGGGAGGGGCTACGTGCAGTTGGGCTGTACCCTGGGCGGGGGTCGTCCTTCCGAAGATTGCAGAATCCCCGCCAGACAGCCGCACCTCCGCGTGCCTTGGGGCACGGTTCTGGACCCCAGAGGAAGGCCTCGAGATCCCTTGGGTCCGCGAGCGGAAACATCTCATCGTCGTAAATTTCTGGGTCTTTGGGGCTTCGGCGGCTCTCCCTCCGTGGCCACGGCTGGACGCGGCTTGAACATTTGGCGCTCGTCTCCCCGACTCCGGATCCCAACCGATTCCAGATCCAAGACGAATTTCAACCAGACGAATTGAAAACCGGATGAAGTTAAACCAGACGAATCAAAAACTGGATAAATGTAAACCCGGCCGACGAATTAAAACCGAATAAATTTAAACCGGATGAATGAAAACCGGGTGAATTTAGACCAGACGAATAAATCCGGATGAATGTAAACCAGACGAATGAAAATCTGGACGATTAAAACCAGATGAACTTAAACTGGACGAATTAAAACTGGAGGAGGTTCTATTGGATCAAATAGACAGCGCGGGCCGCATAGTGGCCCACAGAGAGATTAAAACCGGATGAATTTGAACCAGACGAATTACAACCAAATGAATGTAAACCGGACGAATTACAACCGGATGAATTTAAACCCGGGCGAATTTAATCCGGATGAACTTAAACCGGATGGATTTAAACTGATGAAATAAACGGATGAAATGAAACGGATGAAATTAAATTCAGATGAAAGTGGACCACCGAGGGGTCCCCCCCACCCCCCTTCGACCCCCCCCCCCCCCCTGCTGGACCCCCCGCCTTTCCTCGGCCCCCCCCCACTACCCCACTCCCCCTTTCCGGAAAACTGGAGGGGATCACTACAAATGCGACCCCCCACCCTCCAGAAAACCGGGGGGGGAATTACTGGTTCGAACCTCCTGCCCCCCCCTCGCCGCCGGCAAACGATTCTCGGGACGGGTCACTACCGGTTGGAACCCTCCCCCCCCCCAGAAAACCGGAGAAATCACTACTGGTTCGAACTCCCCTCCCCCCCCTCCAACAAACCGAGGGGGGTCACTACGGTTTCGAACCCTCCCCCACCCCTCCGGAAAAACGAGGGGGTCACTACCAGTTCGAACGCCCCTTCCCCCCCCTAACCGCTGGCAAACGACTCCCGAATCCCCACCACCGTCTGCACCACATCCCCCACCGCTGTCCCCAGCACCACCGTCCACACCACCACCACCACTGTCCACACTTTTCCCAGCACCGTCCCCACTGTCCCCACCAGTGCCCCCACCACTGTCGCACTGTCCCCACTGTTCCCACCACGGTCCCTCGCTCCTCTCTTCCCCCACTGTCCCCACCACTGTCCCAGTGTCCCCACTGTCCCACTGTCCCACTGTCCCCACCGCTGTCCCACTGAGCTGTCCCGCTGTTCCCACCACTGTCCCCACCACTGTCCCCAGTGTGCCCCTGTCCCACTGTCCCACTACCGTCCCCACCACCGCCCTCACCACTGTCCCCACCACCACCGTCCCCACCAGTGTCCCACTGTCCCCGCTGTCCCCACCACTCCCACTGTCCCCACACCACTGTCCCCACCACTGTTTCACTGTCCCCACCACTGTCCCAGTGTCCCCACTGTTCCCACCGTTGTCCCCGCTGTCCCCACCAGTGCCCCCACCAGTGTCTCACTGTCCCCACTGTCCCACCATTGTCCCACCACGGTCCCACTCTCCCCATTGCCCCAACTGTCCCCCCACCACTGTCCCACTGTCCCCAGTCCCCACCACTGTCCCACTGTCCTCGCTGTCCCCACCAGTGCCCCCTCCAGTGTCTCACTGTCCCCACTGTGCCCACAATTGTCCCACCACAGTCTCACTGTCCCACTGTCCCCACTGTTCCCACCACTGTCCCACTGTCCCCGCTGTCCCCACCAGTGCTCCCACCAGTGTCTCTCTGTCCCCACTCACCCCATCATTGCCCCATTACAGACCCACCTTCCCCATTGTCTCCACTGTCCACACCACTCTCCCACTGCCCCCACTGTTCCCACCACTGTCCCACTGTACCCGCCGCTGTCCCACTGTGCTGTCCCACTGTCCCCACTGTCCCCACCACCGTCCCACTGTCCCCACTGTCCGCACCACTCTCCCCAGTGTACCACTGTCGCACCACCATCCTCACCACCGCCTTCACCAAGGTCTCCACCACTACCGTCCCCACCACTGTCCCACTGTCCCCTCTGTCCCCACCACTGTCCCGCTGTCCCCCCACAACTGTCCCCAGCACCACCGTCCCCACCACAGTCCCACATTCCCCGCCACAGTCCCACTGTCCCCCCGCACCACTGTCCCCTCCCCACCACCGTCCCCACCACTGTCCCAGTGTCCCCACCCCTGTCCTACTGTCCCGGGGATCGGGGATCATTTGCCGGCGGCGAAGGGGGGGGGGGGGGGGCTTGAACCGGTAGTGACCCTACCCCGATGGACGGGGGTGGGTGGGGGGAGAGAGGTTCGAACCAGTAGTGACCCCCCCGGTTTTCGAAGGGGGAGGGGCGGGGGGACGGGCTGGGAACCCCCAGTGCCCCCCCCAGTTTCCCGCCAGCAGCGGTAGAACACGCTCTTTCATAGATGTAGTTCTCTGGATGTACCTCGATCTGGCTGGAACTACATCGATGATTCTGAGCTGCCTAGATTGATCTGACATGACCCCCACCTACCGATTGGAACAGAATCGCCAACCACCCTGAAGGGTCTGGACCAATCAAAGTTTGTGCTGGTTCAACCGATGCCCAAACGAACGGCCGATTCCGGAAACACTGAATCCTAAACTATCGACCTCTCGCTTCTGCGTCCGCAAACTTCCGCCTGCGGACGCGCCGCAATGATGTTTCTGGTAGCTTCCACCAGCCTTCCGCGGTCTCCCGCTGAAAGCAGCACCCGCGGAAGGCGAACCCCTGTATCGAACGCTCTGAGTGCTAAATGCTGGCGTGGCGGTTCAGGATATGAAGTTCGCCAAATGCTTGGGTCTGGCCTCGGCGACGGGCAACATTCGCTGCCCTGCTCGAGCAGCGCTGCTGATCCACCCCTCTGCTCCCTCGCTCGCATTCGGGGTTATCCGCGGGGGTCCGCCTAAGCAGAGCGGCAAGTTGATGCGAATGTGGTAGTGGACCTGGCGAGTGGCCCGGGCAGGGCAAACAACAGCAACAGCAACAGCAGCAGCAACAGCAGCAACAACAACAAATCTGGACAGCCTTGGCTGTCGTCTCCCCCGCTCTGCTGGTCCACCCACCTGGCTGAGCACAGTCTCCTCCATGATCACAGTCCCAACTCAGAAACCTGTCAGGATTAGTTCCTCCATGTTCCTCCCCTCCCCTCCAAGTCCTCCCTCTCTCCGTCAAACACCACCCTCCACAACCCTTCCTCCCTGCCGCCCCTCCTTGACCTCCCGCTCGCTACACATTCTCATTCCGCCCTGACCGGCTTCCCCTTTCCCCCCACCCACACACACAAACATACTTTTTCCGATTTGGTTTGCGAGACGGCCGGACGTATGACCTTGATCCTGCGCGCTCACCCAGATGATAAGCGGGAGCACTCTGAAGGTTATCACTTGGGAGAGCTCGTGCTACCTGTTGGAAAGAAGCCTCTCCCAAGCCTTGACAACGCCTCCCTGCCCGCTTCAGTGGGGCCGTGAGGGGACCAGGTGCCGCTAATGCAATTAATCAGGAGGTGGCTACACAGTACCCCCGCAAACTTGGCAGAACAGAATTCCGCGCAGACAAATCGGCGTATGAGAACAACGAGCACGTTGGAACCCCGGGTGGTCCAAGACAGATGCACGACCAAGTCCAACCCACGCTCCGACACCACATCCAGGCTGAAACTCAGACACGTTACCTTTCAAAGCGGGAAATTCGCGATCACATATATGACAACGGAAGATTCCCCCACCCTGGAAGACCTCGCGCCCCACTTCTCTGGGCCTGCGGCGCAGGATGGCGTCCACGGGCCGGGCGCGATCGCGACAAATGGGATGGGGGATGGTCTATCATGTCAGATTTATTCCGCTTACGCAATGAATTAACTCACGTCGCGAATCATTAACCCCTAAGGCCATAATTGCAAGGTCATCGAATTTTCGTCAAAGACAAGGTCTGCGCACTCGGGATCCACCTCCCCACCAGCGGCCTGCACTCCAGCAAACAGGTCAACACAAATATTCAAAAAAATGCTCCTTCTCAGAAGAGGCCCCATACGCGCCGGAGGGCACTGGTCGCATGGGCTTTGGCACGCAAAAGTTCATGCCGTCCTGATCGAGCGCCCAACTGATTCCGCATCAGGACACGCTCATCGAACTTAAGGGGGTTGCTGGCCATGACCGCACGGGAGCGCCGGAGGGCGCGCGCAAGGGGGAGAGGATGTCCGAGCGGGCCACGATGTTGCTTGTGGTGTAATTCAGGAGCGTGTACAGCGCGAAAACATGAGACCGATGACTCGACTGATCCCGACTGAGGGGGGGGGCGCGTGGCACTAATTACGTCGAAGCAGTACATGCTTGAGGCGCTTTCGATATCCAGGCGGACGATCGCCGAAACACAACGCCGCAAGCTCCAATTAGTAGCCCAGACTCCGCCTGAGCCATCAAGGCCCAAAGTACCGCTCTCAACCACGGCCCACCGCAGAACTCCTCTCTCCGTACGAAGACGAGCGCCTGGATACTCTCGACAGCGGCACCGAGCGCGGGCGCGCCTCGTGTCCACCTTTCGCTCTGGGAGTCGGGTTCGACGGGGCTCGGGCACCAGGCAGCTCGAGTCATGAATCGTCTTAGTGGCAATGCCATCAGTACGCACCCACCGCCAAGCTCGATGAGTCATAGTCTCAAGCCCTGCCGTGCTTCAGGCCAGCAGCCAATGATGATATTGCGGCAGAGGAGGGTGGCATCTGGATTCTCGCTGCGCTTCGCCAGACGGGCGCGCATCTTCCCCCAAAAATGCCATCCACTCGCCGACCCTACGCGACCTCGCCACTTATCGCAGAACAACTCCGCCAGCCCTATGCAAGCCGAGGCCGGGGGTAAACCATCAAAAGAGAACCCTGCGCCAGCACCCTTTCCGGGACAAAATGCAATCAACTCCTTGTCCGAACCAGGCGCCATTGCGACGCCTGGCAGCCTGGCCCCGCCCCTTTGCCGGCGCTCCCTCGCGGGCGCCATGCTGCATCTCACGCGAAAAAATCAGGAGAGTGAGCGTCCACCATGGAACATGGAGCATGGGGCCTCCCATCGGGCGGGCGAGTCGAGCGCCCCACGCACGTCGAGCAGCGCAGCTACCGCTGCTGTGATGGGCCCGATCACGCACACCGTGCGGCCTGACAGAAGAGCACACCACAAACGACCACGAACGCGGGTCTCCCTCGCTCAACGCTTGCAGCTGGTTCGTCTTCAACCGACACGCTGGGCCATCGCTGCCCTGGCGCGGGAGCGCCACGGCCATCGGCGCGGAAGCCCTCGAAGACCAATGCCTGGGCTGCTGGGCCGCCGGGGCCCGGCAGGCCTGCACCTCGGACGGAGGGCCCGATCGCGCCGCGGCTCCAGGCCCCGACCCGAGAGCCCCAAAGGCCTCCAGAGTGACCCCAAGAGGGCCCAAACAAAACCCACCGATAGCCACACGATGCCTTCAGGAGGCCTCCAGAGCGTGACTACGTGCTGCTACGCATACTCTGATCAGGACAACCGACCTGCAGAATGATTTGTGATGAGCTGGTGGGATTGCGCGAAGCGTTTAGAGCTCATGACGCTGAAGCTTATGGTTCCCAATCAACTGTCTCGAAGATTCAGGGCAAGCCATTTTCAAAACACGATCGACCCACCAACCCAGAAAGGAATATAAAACTGTCAAACATGGCAGCGTTTTGAAGACACCTGATTGGGCGACGGGCAATTGCAATGCTGAGTGTACCGATCCTGATGTACCGTGCCAAGGGCTGCGCTGTGCCGCGCCGTGCTGAATTGTGATGTGCCTTGCAGCGACTGTGCTCTGCATCGTTGTGGACCTAGTCCTCCTTTGCATCCGAGTCCTGACCGAACTGATCTGGATCTTAAGCTCGAACTGCCTGGGCACATAGTAGCTGCCCCAGAGCTAGTTGAAGCGGAAACGTGCGGGACGTTCAATCAACTCCACCTCAAAATCCGACTCGGCTCCGAAAAGGAACGACACGATACGGGGCATAGACTCACGGACGCGCCACAGGATGTGCCAGGGGCGCAATAGGGGATGCTGTCAGGGGACGTGCGCTGGACGTGTCAGGGATCTGCCACGGGACGTGCCAAGGCGCGTGCCGTGGGGCGGCCAGAGGACGTCATGCCAAGGGACGTTGCAAGGGGCGCGCCACGGAACGGGCAGGGGAAACGCCTGGGGACGAGCCAGGAAACGCGACAGTGGACGAGCCAGGGAACGTGCCACGCCGAATGGCGTGCTGGGGGACGTGCCAGGGCACGTCCCGCCAGAACGTCGCAAGGGACGCGCCAGGGAACGCCTCACGGACGGGCGGAGTTGGACTGCGATGCACTCACTCTACTGCGGCAAGCGTTTCGCTTGAGACATCCTCAACAACTCCTCATGTTAGAAATCCGCCTAGGCGACCTGGACACGTGACAACAAGCGTCTCGCTCGAGGCATCATCAACACATCCTCATGTTGAACATCCGCCTGGGCGACCTGGACACGTGAAACCAAGCGTCTCGCTCGAGACGTCCTCAACACCTCCTCATCCTATGCATCTACCTGGGCAACCTGGACGCGTGGAAGCAAGCGTTTCGTTCGAGACATCCTGCCCACATCCTCATGTCAGATATCTGCCTGGGCGACCTGCGCACGTGAAACCAAGCGTTTCTCTAAACGCATCCTCAACACATCCGCATACTAGACATCCGGGGCAACCTGGGCACGTGAAACCAAGCATCTCGCTCGAGACGTTCTCAGCACATCTTTATGTTAAACATACGCCTGGGCGACCTGGGAACGTGAAAACAAGCGTCTCGCTCAAGACGTTCTCGACACCTCCTCATGCTCGACATTCGCCTGGGCAAGCTGGACACGTGAAACCAAGCGTCTCGCTCGAGATATCCTCAACACATCTTCATTTTAGACATCCGCCTGGGCGACCTGGACACGACGTGAAACCAAGCGTGTCACTCGAGACATCCTCAACAAATCCTCATGCTAGTCAGATGCCTGGGCGACCTGGACACGTGAAAACAAGCGTCTCGCTCGAGACATCCTCAACACGGCCTCATGCTAGACACCTGCCTGGGTAACCTAGACGCGGGAGACCAAGCGTCTCGCTCGAGACATCCTCAAGACCTGGGCACGTGAAAACAAGCATTTCACCTGAGGCATCCTCTGAATTCTGGTCCCCAGGAGAGGGACAATCTATAATAACAAAATAAGCGTTTCGCTCGAGACCTCCACACCAAACGAACATTTTTACTATACCATGTGTTTGATCGATCGGGATTCCCAAAAACAACGTTTTGCTAGGGATATCTTCATCTGTTGAATTCGCCGGCCCTATGCGACCTCGTTATTCATCGCAGAATGCATTCGCCAGCCCTACGCAAGTGGAGGCCAGGGGATTCACAAACTGAAAGAGAACTCTGGGCCCGAGCCCTTTCGTGAATATAGCTCACTCGCCTTAGCTCTGCGCGCAAGCGTCTTTATATCTAGAAACAGCTTCAAGGATGGAGCGCGGGTCGCATGCAAACGAGAGATCTTGCCTGGGCCGTTGGTTGGGGGGGTCGCCTTCGGCCGGGCCAGTTCAACGGAACCGCACCTTAGCCCCGCTGCGCTTCTTCCTTCTCTGCTATTCGAGTTATTAGCGCGGCAAACATTCCAAGCGGGCGGCTCTTGCAGAAAATTGCTGCGGCCGCGAAGCGGTGGCGTATGCACGAACCTCGGGGCAGCAAAAGGGGGAGCCGCGGGCTCTGCACAGCTCACGCGCACATCTGTGCAGGCTGCAGTGGGGTGCCAGCCTCGCCTCAATCTTGAAAGCTCGTTAGCTCCGCCACCATGCTGTTCAGGCAAACGCTTCGTTGCCAACTTACGTGCTCTCTCCTGGCCGTAGTTCCCACGCACCATGCAAACAAAGAACTCTTCATCGAATGCTTGCTAACTTGTGTCCGTTGGGCGAGCACTTGCCAGGAGCCACCACAAACTTTGAGGGAGCCCTTCGCAGTCAACTTCGGGCCGTTCCTTCAAAGACCCCCCATACAAACAGAAACACGAAGCACACCTGTGGCCCCACAGCTACGGCCCCCAGGTGCTTCATCCAGTGACATTGTCCACAGCCTGTTGCTACCTCTCTCGCACTAGAACCGCACGCATAAGTCTGAACAGTTTACAGCAGCTACAAGGCTTGAGGATGGGTCGAATGACAAAACGGGGCTCTCGCTTGAGCGCCGCGTAACAGCTTCAAGGATGGAGGGCTGATCCTTCTCCAGAATGTGGTTCTCGTATCAGCGCCGCGCGCATTCGTTTAGCATATTGAAACAGATACAGCGAAGGATGGTGGGCGTGTTCAAAATGGGACTCTCGCTCATTCGTTTCCACATCATGCCGCAATTTAAAGGATGAAGGACGGTTCCTGTTCAATATGGGGCTCTTTCTCTCGTCTTAACGCCGCGGACATGTGCCCTAACGTTTTGCAGCAGTCACAGCGATGGACCACAAGTCGTTTTCAAAATGGGGCTCTCGCTTTAACGCCGCGCGCATTCGTTGCGAAAGCTTGCAACAATTGGCTGGAAGGTGGTTCTTTTTCAGAACGGGTCTCCCACGGGAGACTTCCTTAATTCCAGGGGCCCGCACGAGTCGAGGGCGACTCGTTTTGCATATGGAGCTCTTGCTTCAGACGTCCTCGATATCATGGACACAGGTGTAGACTTGCGCAGCGGTAGCACGGATGGTGGGCGGTCCTCATTTCGAAAGGGTATTATTGCCAGGCATCTCTTTCGCATTCCTGATTTCGCGCCAGGAGGATGCAAGGCAATTCCTTTTCAAAACGGGGCCCTCGCCAAAATGGGAGGCCCATGTGGCGCTGGTCTTTCAAGGGGGCGCTTCTTGTAGTGAAGAGGGGGGCCCGAATGAACGCATGAGGAGGGGATTGGGCGAGGGGTTCTGCGTTGCAGCATCGATGGTGCCTCCTCCCTCCTCCCTCCTCCCTCCTTCTGCAGCCGCCGCCGCAATCCCCCCCCCTCCCCGTGCGGGCCTTGCCACCGTCGCCCTGCGGGACCGGGGCGTAGCCCTCCGACGCCCTGGCGGCACGGCGCGCACGCGCACGCACGCCGCGCCGCGCCCGGAGGGGCAGAGCGGGGCGCGGCGAGGTAAGGGACGGGACGCACAGGGACGTACTAATACTATGTGTCCTCCTTGGAGGCGCGCGTCCGACCCGAACATACAGTATACCAATATTGTAGTAGATCGTTTCCCGAGCGGTGGTCAGAAAGCGTCCGCCACGACGCATATACTATAAGACTTCTCGGTGCGCGCCGATGGGAGATTGATAGAGCAAGCCCCTCGACAACGGTACCGTTTGGCCTGGGCCTCCAGGGAACAGGACCACGATCGACCCACGAACCCGGAAAGGAACACAGGAACGTGAGGCGTGGCAGCGTTTTCAAGGCATCTGACTGGGCGACGGGCAATTGCAATGCTGAGTGTATCGATCTTGCTGTACCGTGCCAAGGGCTGTGCTGTGCTGCGCCGTGCTGAATTGCGATGTGCCATGCCGCGATTGCGCTCTGTTGCGCTGTGGGTCGAGTCCTCCTTTGCATCCGAGTCCTGACCGAACTGATCTGGATCTTCAGCTCGAACTGCCTGGGCACATAGTAGCTGCCCCAGAGCCCTCGTGAATTGAGCCGCTTCCGCGCTCCCAGGGGCACCACCCCTTTTGCAAGTTGGTCTGCGTCCGCGCTCTCGGTCGCGAAGCACCGTGCGGAGGTCGCCCAAAAGCCCCCCCCCCCACCTCTCGAGAGCAGGAACCACTATTTTTCTGTATTATGATATGTGCTTGGGGGACGCTTTTCGCCCCCCCTCCCCGCCCTCCCCCGCCATTTCCTGAAAATCAGGCGCTGGACCCGAAGCCGCGAATCATCATACATTGCATTGCGCCCGCGCACCCTAGGCCGCGATCCCTCGTAATTTACGCTGGAGTCGCGCTCTCAAGGCCACAGTCCCTCGTACATCACGCTGGGTTCTCGCTCACAGGGCGGCGATCCCTCGCAAGTTACGCGGGATTCACGGTCCCAGGGCCACGATCGCTCAAACATTATGCTGGCTTGCACGCTCCCAGGGCCAAGATCCATCGTAAAGTATACTAGAACCACGCGCGCGCTTCGCGCGCGCTTGGGTTCTAGCCAGCTCCGGCCCGTGACAGCCTCACAGTTGCGTGCAGATGCGCACGCACACATGCAACGTCAGGAGTCACCCACAAGTTGTAGGGGTTTCTTGGGGGCCTCTTGGGGGCCTCTTGGGGGCTCTTCGAGTGTCTGAGGGGCTTTGTGGGGCGTCTTGGAGCCTCCCGAGGGCCTCTTGGGAGCGATCGTGAGGTGTCAGCAGCCCATCGGAGGCGACAAGGCGACAAGGGGAGAAGGCGAACGTCACTGATTTCCCTTTAGGTTAGGAGTGGTTTGGGCTTGTCGGAGGCGTTCTGGTAGGTCTCCTGGGCCCCTCTGGTGCTGTCTTGAGCGTCTCTGGAGGCGTCTTCAGGCTCCGGGCACTTCTGGGTGCGCGTTCCCCTTCTTGGGCCTGTCGTGGAGCCATCTTGGGGCCCTCTCAGGCCGTCTTGGGCGTCTCAAGGACCGTCTAGGGCCTTCGTGGGCCGTCTTGGGGCTCTCTTGGAGGCTTCTTCATCTGTCTTCGAGCGGTCTTCGGGGCCTCTGGGGCCGTCTTGGAGCGTCGGGAAACTGAAAAGGCGAAAACTCGAAAAGCCTTGAAAAACCTTAGGACAATCAACGATTGTTGCCTCTTCGAGCGCTCTTGGGAGGCCTCTTGGAGGCCTCTTGGGGGCCGCTTGGGCCCTCCAGGGGCATCACGAACATGATAAGGGACGACGGTGGTTTGCGCAGCGCACGTAGCAAACCGCGTGTTACGGTTTACGCTGGCCACGTGGCGCTGCACGCGGAGTCCACGGGGTCGGATAACCTTCGTTGCAAGCGGTGCTAGACTGAATCTTAGACATACCACCAGCAAGGCAGGCACACCGTAAAACTACGCTGAGTGGGCCTCCTCCTACTCCTTCTCCTCTCTTCCCTCCTCCTCCTCCTTCGACGTCCCCTCTCGTCCCTCCTCCTCAATGCTCATTGCCCGCCTCTCTCTACTCCCACTTTGATTCCCTCTCTCATTCCTGTCCCTCCTCCCCTGATCGCCCTGCTGCTGCTGCTGCTCCTCCTCCCCCTCCTCCTTGCCAATATCCCCCTCCGCGCCCACCACCACCACCCTGTCTCGTTGGTTTTGTTCACTGATTTGCACCCCTCTCCGTGCATCCTCCTTCCCCGATCTGCTCCCACCATTATTCCTCGCTCACGCGTCCCGCTTTCCCAGCCCCCTCCCATGCAATGCGCGTGGCGATCCTGTTGACATACCACCTGGACCACGCCTGCCCATTCGTTTCGGTGACCATCCAATCAACTGGCGGAGACAGGCCGCGAGGTCGCTGACCCCTGACGCCCAGCTGTTGCAACGCGGGTGAAAAAAAGAGCCCCCACTACCTCCCCACTCCCTCTCCCCCAGTCCATTCCCGCCCCTCCCCCTCCACCCTCCCCTCTCCCCCTCTCTGGCGTCTGTGCACCTCCTTCGCCCAGTGTAAGTGGACCAATCTGGATGAGAGTTTCGGTGAAGGGGGGTGAAGATGGGGCGTCCAAGGGTAGACTGACGCGTGTGTGGGAGGGGCGCCCTTCCAGATCAGGGGCTCCTACGTAGAACAGTACGCAAGGAGTCAGCAAGCTCTCACTGATCCGACCTGTGGTGAGTCCTCGGCGAATCAGAGTCCGAACAGGATTCCTCTACCCCTCTCCTCCTTCCCCCACCCCTCCCCCTCATCGTCGTCGGCGTCGTTATTCGCGTTGCTGCATTCGTTCGTCCGTCGCCTTCGTCATGTCGTTCGTCGTCCTCGCCATTGTCGTTCGTCTTTGTCGTCCTCGTCGTCGTCTTCGTCGTCGTCGGTGGCCTTTATACTTTCCTGGACCCCGAGCCCCTCCGCGGGCGCGCGCGAGGTAAACCCAGAATCCTAGAACCATCCCCACCCTCCTCCCCTCCCTCCTTCTCTCTTCTCTTAGGCAGGCCGCGGGCGCGAGCGCGAAGCGTCCAGCGGCCGATCAACGATCGGCCCCGTCGCCCGCGCGCCCATTTGCAACACCAGGCGCAGAGTGCGGCAAGTGCGAAGTGAACGCGGAACGTCCGCCACGAAGCCCATGCGGAGACAAGAGCACGAGAAGATGAAGTGAGCAAGCTCAATGGATGATCTCGGAGAGAGCAGCAGGGCGGGCTGGCTCCTCCACCTCCTCCTCCTCCTCTTCCCCCTACTCCCCCGCCCTTCGAGAGCTGGCTCCGCCGCCAGCAGTGTCCGGGCGGCCGCACCTGTGCCGAGACAGGGTCCGCGCCGCCTGGCTCCGGTCGGGGTCCCTGCCGGCGCTGATACGTAGGCGGGGACTGACACAACTCCTCCCCCTCCTCCTCCTCCTCCTCCTCCTCCTCCTCCTCCTCCTCCTCCTCCTCCTCCCCCTCCCCCTCCGGGCGGGAGTGGCAGCTTATCCACCGTCACAAGGTGAGGCGGCGTCAGGCGAACCCTATCCCCGCCTACCGCCGATTCTCCCGAATCGATGGGGGGAGGCGGGGGGGGGCTCGGATCTCGCCACGTCTTCGTCGAATTCCGAACCCTACCCCTTCCGCCCATCGAATTGCCTGACGCGTTGATCGGAGAGGGTGCGGTTCGGATTTCGCCGTGAACATCTTTGGTCCCTCATCAGACGATACATTGGCGCCGCGGAACACGACGCGCCAAGGGTCGTGCCAAGGGGGCGTGCCATGAAAACGCACCGCGGCACATGCAGAATGGACGCGCTACGGAACGTGTCAATGGAAGTACCACGGGACGCGCCCGGAGACGCGCTGCGCGACGTGCCAAGGGGACTCGCCATGGGACGCGCCACGGACGGTGCCAGGGAACGTGCCAAGTTGCAAGGCAGAGTGCATCGATCTTGCTGTGCTGCACTGAATTGCGATGTGCCGTGCCGCGGTTGTGCTCTATAGCGTTGTGGGTCGCGTCCCCCTTTTGCATCCGAGTCCTGATCGAACTGATTTGAATCTTAAGCTCGAGCTGCCTGAGCACGTAGCTGCTGCCCCAGAAGTATTTGACAGGGGGACATGCCAAGGGGACGCGCCGCGGAACATCCCAAGGGACGCGCGTGCCACGGGACGTGCCATGGGGACGCACCGCGGGACGTGCAAAGGGGACGCACTACGGAACGCCAATGGACGTGCCACGGGACGTGCCAGGGGACGCGCTGCGCGAGGTGCCAGGGGGACGCGCCACGGAACGTGCCAGGGAACGTGCCAGGCGACACGCCAAGGAACGTGCCAGGGATCGCGTCAAGGAGCGTGCCGCGGGACGTCCCTGTCCCTCGGCCTGGATCCATCGTAAATTAACACTGCGTGCGCGCTTCCAGGGCCACGATCCCTCCTGAATTGCGCTGCGTCCGCTCTCCCTGGGCAACGGTTCCTCGTTAACTACGTTGCGTCCGCGCTTCCAGGGCCGCGTTCCCTCGTGAATTGGATGCGTCCGCGGACGCCCCTGGCCCAGGGCCAGGATCCCTCGCAAATAACGAAGCGTCCGCGCTCCCAGTGCCACGATCCATCATGCATTGCGCTGCGTCCGCGCCCCCACGGCCACGATCCCTCGTAAAGCACCCTGCGCCCGCTTTCCCTGGGCCACGATCCCTTGTAAACTACGCTGCGTCCGCGTTCCTAGGGCTGCGCTCCCTCGTGAATTACGCTGCGACCGCGCTCCAAGGGCCATGTTCCTTTGTGACTTGCATGCGTCCGCGGACGTCCCTGGCCCAGGGCCACGACCCCTCGCAAATCACAAAGCGCCCCCGCTCCCAGGGCCACGATCCATCACGCATTACGATGCATCCGCTCTCCCATGGCCCCCTGGGGCATCCGTGGGCGTTCAGGTAATTGGAAATCTCCAAACCAATTTCCCTGGCGACGTACCCAACCCCTGCACAATGCGGGGCACTAGTAGCCTGGGACACGTTATACAAAAGGTGATGACGTGACATGGGCGCATATAATTATGCGAACGGCATTCGCAAGGCTCGCAGCCCCCCAGGGAACGAGGTCTGGTTCAGATCTGCGTGGTGCCTCGCTCCGCTGGACCCGCCAGCAGCCCTCGAAAGTGGCGACAGCGTCGCAAATCGCAGCCCCCCAGGGACGGCGAGGTCTACCTCAGATCACCGCGATGCCTCAGTCCGCTGGACCCACCATCAGCCCTCGAAAGTGGCGACAGCGTCACAGATCGCAGCCCCCCAGGGACGGCGAGGTCTCGCTCAGATCCCCGCTGTGCCTCAGTCCGCTGGACCCACCAGCAGCCCTCAAAAGTGGCGACGTTGTCGCCGATCGCAACCCCCCAGAGACGGCGAGGTCTCACTCAGATCCTCGCGGTGCCTCAGTCCGTAGGACCCACCAGCAGCCCTCGAAAGTGGCGACAGTGTCGCAGATCGCAGCCCCCCAGGGACGGCGAGGTCTCGCTCAAATCCCGCGGTGCCTCAGTCCGCTGGACCCACCAGCAGCCCTCGAAAGTGGCGACAGTGTCGCAGATCGCAGCCCCCCAGGGACGGCGAGGTCTCGCTCAGATCCCCGCGGTGCCTCAGTCCGCAGGACCCACCAGCAAACCCCGAAAATGACGACAATGTCGCAGATCGCAGCCCCCAACACTGGCTAAAAAAAAAACCAAGGAAGACATGCCAGCGCCCTGAGTCTGGCCTGTCTTGTAGTACTGCTGCTCGTAGGAGTGGCTTGCTAGCACGTAATAGGACTCGTATCCAATGCTTGTATCTTGAGATCGTCGATCAACTCCAAGACCATGAAGTGCTGATAGGTGCGCATACAATGTCCATGCTGTGGCGGCTGGCTTTACAGCCATACACCAGTGCGCCAGTCCGCATCGGACTGTGGCCCCTAGGTTCGTACGTTGTGCTGTAGGATCTCGTTGCACCAAGCAGTACGTGGCATACACTGCAATTTCACGTCCTGCTCGGTGCACGTCGTCATCGTGTGGCGAATTGAGGAAATCACATATGTGGTCCAACAACTGTATCTCCGACGATGCAGACAGTGCTCGTCTGAGGTGGAGAGGGGGTACGTCGGGCAGAAGGGCTTGGATACGTAGAGTGGCGATGTCCATCGCAGGAAGAGGATTGGAAAGATCTGCCACGTCACCATGCAAACGTGGTCGTTCGCACTGTTTTCATTGTAGTCGTCAAAGCTCTTGACGGAATTTAGACGCCAAAGCCCACCAGAGGGAACATTAGCGTGCTGCTTGGTCGAGCGATGGACTTCGCCCGAGCGAATCGGGGACGAATCAGGCCGTCGGCCTCTGGAACTGACGATGGCAGGTTACGCCACCCCTGCTCGCCTGGGCAAAAACAGCTATACCGCATCATCTTCGTCGTTCACCGAACAAATTATCAAAATAATGCTGAGAGCGCTGAGACTTCCTATCGCCTAGGGGCAACTGCAAAGGCCTAGCGTGAGGATCCTTCCGAGGGCTGCTAGGAGTGTGAGAAACGAGAGAGTGCCTGCAACGAAATTCACAACAATATGATATAGGGCACTACACACTGTGGGATTTAGGTCCAGTGAGAGAGAGAGAGAGAGAGGGAGAGAGAGGAACGCAGGAGACAAAGGGTGGTATATCTCATTCATTACTGACAAAACTGCTGTTACTGCTGCTGCTGCTGCTAATGACTCCTAGTTTTGGGCCGCATGCGGCTGCTAGTGCTGATTGTATCGCTAGTGGACCACATGCTGCAAGTGCCACTGCTGCTGCTGCTGCTGCTGATGCTGCTGCTACTGCTGCCAAGCGTGGGCGGGTGACCATCACCCTCCCCCCTTGCGCGGGGGGGGTCGTCGTCGTCATCGTCGTTTGCCGTCGACAGGGAAGGAGGACTCATCGCCGTCGTCGTGCCGTCGTCGTCGTCATCGTGGTCGTCGTCGTCGTCGTCGTCGTCGTCGTCGGCGCCGTCACCGTCGCCGTCGCCGTCGCCGTCGCCGTCGGGGCCGTCGCCGTCGCCGTCACCGCCGCCGCCGCCACCGCCGCCGCCGCCGTCGCCGTCGTTGTCATCGTCATCGTCGTCGTCGCGCCGTCGCCGCCGCCGCTGCCGTCGCAACCACCGCCGCCGCCGCCGTCGTCATCGTCGTCGTCGTCGCCGTCGTCGTCGTCGTCGTCGTCGCCATCGCCGTCGTCGTCGTCGTCGTCGTCGTCGTCGTCGTCGTCGTCGTCGTCGTCGTCTCGTCGTCGTCCTCGTCGCTGTCGTCCTCATCGTCGACGTCGTCTGGTCGTCGTGTTGGTTGCCGTCGTTTGCTGGCGCCAAGGGTCGTCCAGCGCCAATGGGGGGAGGGGGGAACCCCCCCATGCGTGAGGGGGGTCGTGTGTTGCCACCCCCTTCTTTTTTAGGGGGGGAGAGGGTGCGGCGGGTTTCCAGACGTCCGGGATGGCTGGGGGGGTGGCCGAGTTGAGAGTTCCACCCTCCTCAAGCCACCCTCCTCAAGCGACCACAGAGCGCGCTCTTTCTCAGACGCGGAACACGAGCAGGAGGAGAAGGGGTGAAGGAAAGGCAGGGAGAAGGGAGCGCAGGGGGCGGAAGGAATAGGGGAGGGGAGGGATGAATGAGGACGCAGAGGACGACGAAGTCGTTCGCCTCCCCTCCCCTCCCCTCCCCTCCCCCACCGCAATCTCCCCCTCCACACCCTCCGCTCACTTCCTCTCCCCTGTTCCTCAACTGCTCTCTTCTCTCTCTCTATCCCCGTTGGCCCCCCTTTCCGATCGCGCATCGCGCGATGGGGTCCTCTCTGTGGGGATCAAAAACACCTCGGAGCCCCCAGATGACGGATAGACAGGAATTCAACGCAGCGGGAAGGGACGAGTGGCAGGTGTAGCATGACAGCTTTGGCGCTAGCGCTTAGCTTGGAGGCGGGGGACGAGGAGGTGGAGGACTCCCCCCCTTCCACCGCCCTTTCATCCCCCATCTTCTCCCACCGCTCCCTCTTAAGGGCCTGCCGCTGCCGTCGCGCGGGGCATCTGGCGGGCTTCCCAGGGCCATGGGGGCGGCGGGCCCTGGGCGCCTACCCTCCTCAGCGTGCAGGAAGGAGGGGGGCGAGGAGGAGGGAGACGAGCTGGAGGAGGGGGGGGGGGCATATGGAACGCAGGAGGACATACCAGTACTGTGCACCCTCCTTGGAGGCGTGCGTCCGACCAGATCATACAGTACAGTGTTAGCCAGCGCGGGCCCCAAACAGCGTGTCTCTAGCAATATAGTTGGTTCAATATGTGTGGGCCAACCGATGCGTGATGCAACACACACATGTACATATAGATATAGCATGGTGCAAAGAATGTTGTACAACCTGTGTGGTGTGGTACAACATGTAGTGCGCGTCATCTGTAAGGCAACCTGTGCGGAGCACGATCCGTGGTTCAATCTGCGTGGTGCAATGTAGGTTGCGCAATATAAATGGTGCCATCTGTGTTGTGCAACAGTTGTGGTGCAACAGGTGTTGTGTAAGATAGCTTGGGTTACCGATATTGTGCAAAATGTGTGGGGCGACCTATGTGCTGCAGCTCATGCCGTGCAGTAGACATGATGCTATACATCGGATGAACTCGATGGTGTGCAGTCGTTGTGTGACACTCTTTGTGAAGCACTATGTGTGGCGCAGCGGGGTGCAATCGATGCTGCGCAAAGCATGTGGTGTAACCTAGGTTTCAGCACCTGTGTGGTGCAATCGATAGTGTGCAGCCCCTGTGGGGTAATCTATGTTGCGCAGTCTATGTGGGCCACTCTATGTCGCGCGATGTTTGTGGAGAGGTCTATGCGGTGCCATTTAAAGGATGCAACACATATGGTGCAATCGATGCTGTGCAGTCTAAGGTGTGTGAACTATGTGGTGCAACATATGCTCTGCAAACTATGTGAAAACATGTATGGTGCGCAACCGGTGTGATGCAATAGACCGTGTGTGGTATATGAGGTGCAATCGATGTGGTGCAACACATGCTGTGCAATCTGTGTGCAGCAACCTACGTGGTGCAAAGCGACGGGGCGGCGAAAGGACGGCGGCGGAGACAACATAGCTGCCAGACCGACGACTCGGCCCAGACGACGGACGACGACGAAGCGGGGACGGGGCGGAGACGGAGACAACATAACCAACATACCTAAGATACGGCCCAGACGACGAGCGGCAACGAGGCGACGACGAGGCGGCGAGCGAGGCCACATATCCGCCAGACCGAAGACAGGGCCCAGACGACGGGCGGCGACGAGGCAGCGACGGGACGGCGACGGCGGCCACAGAGCCGCCAGAGCAAAGACACGGCCCAGTTCCTCAGAACAGAAGTAAGACCCCCAAAGTGCAAGCACTGTTCGGGAAACAATGTGATAGTATGTCGTTGCCCCAGCAGTATGGCCAGAAAGCGACCGCCACCGAGCATAGACTACAATGTGTCCTGGCGCGCACGTCGCACCTTTGGAGGAGACGAGCACATACCATTAGTATGTCTGGGCGACGCTGACCATACGCCGCAGGAGAGAATTCTGCCAATAAGTGTGGCTGGACAAGAATCTACACAACCCGATGAATGGCACGCATCGTGTGCCGATAGCGTGTAGACGTAAACATGTACATGTGATGTGTACGTGTATGCGCATGAGGCGGGCTTCCGATTGGCCACTCGTGCTGAAGAAAGTGCTGCAAGCAAGCAGGTAGCAGCCAGCGGAAGGTGGAGGGGAGAAGGAAGAGGAAGAGGGAAAGCATGGCTACTCGAAGCTACCCTCCAAGTTGACATCGATAAACACTTCGGCCACTGCGTGCAACTCATCGCAAAGAACACGTTTTCTCATGGCGTCCTTACGCTGGCGACGCACCACAAGAGCCAGACGATCGATAACTCGCGCCTGCTCCATATTACCCTCCTGGCGGGCCGCTCGATTGAAAGCATCCTCGGTGGTAACTTTGATGCGGTGCTTGGTTGCTGCCTGGCACACACAACTACCAAGAGACAAGAGATGTCGCAAGATATTTGCTTCCGCCAGCGCCTGTGAGCACTGCTCTTCCTGCGAGCACAAACAAATTATTTACCACATACTGCTATCCCACAGAGGACGCGCCTTTCTGCCGTGGCCAGATTTGCAGACACCAAGCCCAAGTGCGGTCCGAGCCTAGCGAGGTGCAGACCAAGCAAATTACAGAAGGCATCAAACTGAAATCCACAGAGCCGGGGATGCCTCGGGAGTTCAGACCTCGGGTTGTGCAACGACAGCCCCCTAGGTAGTCTCTGCTGGCCTCAACGGGCCCCCCCTGAGTAGTCCCAGCTGGCCTCAGCAGGCCCCCCGAGTAGTCCAGGGCGGTCTGAACCTCCCAAACCTGGGGCGCAGAGCGCCTCAAGGGCGCCGCCGGAGGCGGCGCCCAGGTGTGGAGACCGCCCGTGACTACTCGGGGGGGCCTGTTGAAGCCAGCTGGGGCTACTCGGGGGGCTCTGTTGCGGCCAGCCGGGACTACCGAGGGGGCTGTCTGTGCGCAACTCGAGGCCTTACCAGCCTCGGGCTACAAAAAACATTAACTCACCATTCCACCATTCCAATCTCATGGCCTCGGTCGACCGTCGATGCGGTCGATACGATGTTCCCTCCATCTGCCCCAGCGGCGAGGACTGCCCCCGAGCGCTCGCATCCGGACAGACACCCTTCGAGCCAGGCGCGCGAGGCACACTTAGCTTGCTGGAGTGCTGGGGGAGGAAGAGCAGCCGCCCCGGATACGCAACATGCCTCCCGCAGCGTGCTGACACGGAGCTCACCCCGCAGATTGAAAACGCAGGACTGGCGCGATACGTGCGCCAAAACGTGGGCCAACACGTGCCAACCAACACACAACGTGACCAACCTGGACGGCTTCAGCAAATGTACTGCGTTTCACCACGGGCCCACCACAGCAGATTGGGCGACGGGCAATTGCAATGCTGAGTGTATCGATCTTGGTGTACCGTTCCTAGGGCTGTGCTGTGCTGTGTCGTGCTGAATTGCGATGTGCCATGCCGCGAGTGTGCTCTGTAGCGTTGTGGGTCGAGCCCCCTTTGCATCCGAGTCCTGACCGAACTGATCTGGATCTTAAGCTCGAGCTGCCTGAGCGCATAGTTGCCGCCCCAGAGCCAATTGAAGTGGAAACGTGGAGGAAGTTCAATCAAGTCGACCTCAAAATCCGACCCAACTCCGAATAGGAACGACACGACACGGGGCACAGGCTCACGGACGCGGCACAGGATGTGCCAAGGGCGCAATGGGGAATGCGCCAGGGGACGTTTCAGGGGACGCGTGAGGGGACGTGCCCTGGACGTGTCAGGGACCTGCCATGGGACGTGTCAATGCGCGTGCCATGGGGCGGCCAGAGGACGTCATGCCAAGAGGCGTCGTAAGGGGCCCGCCACGGAACGGGCAGGGACGACGCCTAGGGACGAGCAAGGCAATGCGACAGAGAGTGATCCAGGGAACGTGCCACGCCGAGTGGCGCGCTAGGGGACGTGCCAGGGCACGTCACGCCTGAACGTCGCAGTGGACGCGCCAGGGGCGCGCCAGGGCGCCAGGGGCGCGCCCCACGGATGGGCGGGGTTAGACTGCAATGCGCTCTACTGCGACGAGCGTTTCGCTCGAGACATCCTCAACAAATCCTCATGTTAGACATCCGCCTGGGCGACCTGGACACGTGAAAACAAGCGTTTCGCTGAACACCTCCTCAACACATCCTCATGCTAGACATCCACCTGAGCGGCCTGGACATGCGAAAACAAGCATCTCTCGAGAGACATCCTCAAACCATCCTCATGCTAGACATCCGCCTGGACGACCTGGACGCGTGAAAACAAGCGCCTCGCTCAAAAGATCCTCAACAAATCCTGATGCTAGACATCTGCCTGCAACCTGGATGCGTGAAACCAAGCGTCTCGCTCGAGACATCCTTAAGACCTGGGCACGTGAAAACAAGCATTTCACCGGAGACATCATGTGAGTTCTAGTCCCCAAGAGAGGAACGATCTGCATCACAAAACAAACGTTCCGCTCGAGACATCTTAACACACACTATGCGAAACAAACGCGTCGCTCGAGACATCCGCAACAAACGACAATGCTTACTTGACCCGGTGTTTTATCGATCGGAATTCTAACATGATCGACCCACGAACCCGGAAGGGAATATAGAAAAGCGTTTCAAAAACACCTGACTGAGCGACGGGCGGTTGCAATGCTGAGAGCATCGATCTTGATGTACCGTGCCGAGGGCTGTGCTGTGCTGCGCCGTGCTGAATTGCGATGTGCCATGCCGCGAGTGTGCTCTACAGCGTTGTGGATCTAGTCCTCCTTTGCATCCGAGTCCTGACCGAACTGATCTGGATCTTAAGCTCGAGCTGCCTGAGCACATTGTAGCTGCCCCTGAACTAATTGACAGGGGGGCATGCCAGGAGGACGCGCCGCGAAACGTTTCAAGGGACGCGCCAGGCGACGTGCCAGGGGAGGTGCCATGGGGACGTGCCATGGGGACGCACCGCGGGACGTGCCAAAGGAACACGCTAATTACAGAACGTGCCAATGGACGTGCCACGTGACGTGCCAGGGGACGCGCCGCGCGACGTGCCAAGGGGACTTGTCACGGGACGCACCACGAAACGTGCCAGGGAACGTGCCAAGTTGCAACGCTGAGTGTACCGATCTTGATGTACCGTGCCGAGGGATGTGCTGTGCCTGGGTGACCTGGACACATAAAAACAAGCGTTTCGATCATGACATTCTCAACACATCTTCATGCCAGGTATCCGCCTGGGCGACCTGGACATGTGAAAACAAACGTTTCGCTCTACACATCCTCAACACATCCTGATACTAGACATCCGCCTGGGCGACCTGGACACGTGAAAACAAGTGATTCGCTCGAGACATCTCCAACACATCTTCATGTTAGACGTCCGCCTGGGTGACCTGGGCATGTGAAAACAAGCGTTTCGCTCGAGCTGTTTTCAATACATCCTTATGTTAGACATTCGCCTGGGCGACCTTGACACGTGAAAACAAGCGTCT